GCGCAGCGGGCAGCGGGCCCTCAGGTGTCCTGCTGGGAGCTGGCTGGGTTTGCCCCCGCTTCGCACGGGTGCTCGCCAGAGCTGCCAGCGCTGCCTGGCATCCCCCCTGCCAGGGGACGCGTCTTGCAGTGAGGAAAATCGGTCCCCTCACTGATTGCATCCTTCATCCCTTCAGGGCAACCAGGGAGACCCAGGACCCCCAGGACCTCCGGTGAGGGGATGCCCCCGTCCTGGGGCGCGTGGGGCTGCTGTGCACAGTGGCCCTGAGCTGGGGCTGGCACCCCACAGCAGAGGGCAAGGGGGGGGACAGTGCTGGGTCACGCTGTCCTGGCGTCCCCTCCCCATCCTGCAGAGCCATGCCACCTGCAAGCGTGGGGCTGGGGGTTTGGCGCCCTGGAGGTAACGTCCCCTTGTTCCCTGCAGGGCACCGCTGGCCCGCCGGGCACCCAGGGCCCGTCTGGGATGAAGGTATGTCGTCTCTCTGTTTGGCCTGGCAGAGGGGAAGCAGTGTCCTGCCGGCGCGGGGGCCTCTCTGGTGGCTGACGGGCTGGAGAGAGTGTTGCTGGGGGTAACTTGAGGCTGCTCCAGGGAGCTGGGCGCGCAGCGAGGGGCTGCCGTGGGGAGGCGTGTAAGACAAGTGGCTGCACCCCTAGATGAGGATTTGGGAGCCCATTGGGACGTAAGCTGCTATGTTCTCAGCTCTCCTGGTGGTTTAGCCTCCCCTCTCCTGTCCGGGCTCTTGCAGCCGGGACCATGGTGGCCACAGGGAGACCTGGGTGCAGGGCTATCTCTCTCTTTCCTGTCCCAATCCTGGCAGCAGGGCACGTGGCGTTTCCTTGCAGTGTTTTGGGAGGCTCAGGGTCTGGGGAAAGCCCTTAGTGTGTACAGGGGGCTTACCCAGCTTGGGGACACGGTTGTGACTGTGGTGGCCGTGGGCTTGTGGGCCGGGGCGGTGGGACTGACACGGGTGCTCTCTTTGCAGGGAGATCTCTCTCTTTCCTGTCCCAATCCTGGCAGCAGGGCACGTGGCGTTTCCTTGCAGTGTTTTGGGAGGCTCAGGGTCTGGGGAAAGCCCTTAGTGTGTACAGGGGGCTTACCCAGCTTGGGGACACGGTTGTGACTGTGGTGGCCGTGGGCTTGTGGGCCGGGGCGGTGGGACTGACACGGGTGCTCTCTTTGCAGGGAGATCCGGGGGAGCCTGGCTCCAGCATCCGCGTGAGTCGCTGTGCCCTCCTGGAGCTCCCCGTCCCCATCGGCGCCAGCCCTGACCCCCCGAAGGCAGCCGGCACCTTCCCACGGGGACTTGTCGTTCCTCGGCCAGCCGAGACTGGGCAGCCCCTGGCTGGCCCCGCCGGCCTGGCCGTGCCGGGGGGAGCGCGGGCC